CCACACACACACACACACACACACGAGTCCAGAAAGTGGTATATAATGAATATTTCTGAAGTACGTACACACCCACTCTTTATTCTTCCTGATTCAACATATTTGACAACATTAAACATGCAAACAAACAAGATATCCAGACGTATGAGAGGCCCTTTAGGACATCATCTATTCTTGCTTTTTAAGTCAACAAGTGAGTGTTTGATATAGTGAATGGTAAATGTACTGTACTTACTGTATATAGCACCTTTCTATCTTATCAAGATAATCAAAGCTCTTTACACTACAATCTGTGCCTCATTTACCCATTCATCCAGCACTCTACTAGATCTCTACAAAGCTAATTGAACAAATCATTCTAAAGAGACTAATCAGTGCTTTATAACATTCATACACCGATGGGACACACATTGGAGGCAATTAGGGGTTTAATGTTTTGCCCAGGGACACTTCGTCATGTGACTGCTGGTGGATTCAAACCCCCAACTCTTGCATTGAAGGACGACTGCTCTAACCACTCAGCCACAGCCGCCCAGTGAATGTGAAAGCAAGAATTGATTAGGTCCTGAAGGACCTCGCATATAAAGTATGCAGATTAATTAATGACACTAAACAAAGAGCCATACAGGAACTTTTGTAAACCTGCTAAAGCATGAACAATCAACTGCTAACTGGCAAGAAACGTACATGCTGATGTTTAAAGTAACTGTAGAAACCCACTCTGAGAATAGAGTTGATGATTACCGATTTAATGTAAAAAGAAGTAAATGAGAAATTGATGATTTATTCTGATTCTGGTCATTTGTGAAGTGAAGTTTCATGAAACAGATATTACTTGTTAGCTCCTTATCAGCAGAGACATAAGTATTAAAATAGAGTATGAAGAAAAAGACAGGAGTTCTGGTTCAGGCTCGGCTAACCATCCAAATAAAGCCCTGTTCCAAATCATTTTTTGGTTTTTAAAACTCTTAAAACAATACACAGGTGTGATTAGTTAATAATAAAAACCTCATTACTCACACTTGGAACCTTTATCAAGGTTTCCTCCACTGACCATCAGTTTTATTACATAAACGTATGCTGAGCACAGATTGTTAGGCTGACGGTGTTGCGGCTGTTTCATGTCCATAAACAACAAAATACACTAAATCAAATGTTAGCAAATCTACCAATCGAAGTTTGTTTTGTTGTTTTTGTGCACTGAAAAAAATACTCTCTAATTAAAACTTTACCCATGAGCTGCATGGCAACAGTTTTTAAACTTTATACTATATTTTGACTGTAAATGGAGGAACTGTTTTAAGATCTTGTGACCACACACTATTAATGACACCAAACAGAATCTTCTTCATGTGACGTTGACAGCCTTTCATTAGCATAACTAGACAACAAGAACTACAGACCATTCAGGAACCGTGTATTCAGCAACTTTGAGAAGAAGTATTTTTGATTGTTGGGAAGTGTAGAGTTGCATTTGGGCGCAAAAAATCCGACCCGATCTGGCCCGTAACCATCATTTCCAAACACCACCCGACCTGACAAATTAACAGTAATTACAGGTCTGAACCCAAATTTTTTTAAATTTTTATTAAGCTTTGACTGCTTATTATAGTTATTAATGGTTGGTGGATGCGCACGGCTGAATAAAATGGGCAGAAGATAGGAGCTGAGGGGGTGATTGTCTTTTCATGGCCGTCAACCTGCATCAAATCCCTGCTTCTGCCTACATTCTGCATTATTCAGACATTGACCCTGCTCTGACATGCCGGATATTTTGAGATCTCGCCTCTTTGGGTTGTCAGCCGCGCACATCTGCTGAGTGCAGCGGCTGAATGACCGTCCATTTGGGCTTTGATGGATCGCTGCCTCGCAGTATAGTCCCATCTGAAGCTTTTTTTTTTTTTACCTCTTTCAAGGTTGGTCAGTGCACGGTCAAATGGCCGTGTGTGGCTGGTGATTGTATGGCAAGCCATGTTGCTATATAATTGGATCGTCAGCCACGCGTGTCCGCTGATGAGATCAAAAGCCTGACACCGGCCCGGCCCGAGCTCCAGGTTAGAAATGACATCTCTATTTGGAATGAGAAAAAAAAACAACAACAAAGGAAAAAAATCTCATTGTGCAAAATAAAAATTCTTAAGAAAATCATCAGAATTTGTTTATAAGTTGGGATGGAGGTCATTCAAAATGCACAACAATTTGTTTTCACTTTCTTGTACAATTTAGTAAAAGAGTGAGTGAATGTGGAGGATCCTGTGTGTGCGCGTGTGTGTGTACCCAGTCATTAGGCCTCTAACAGCAGAGTCTAATGACTCGCAGTGTGTCATCCAGTGGCGGTTTAATAACGCACTTGCCGACACTAGAGATGTGTGACTCCACCATAATTATGCGCCACAACACAAACCAACTTATTTCCAGTTCTTACTTTTTTGTTCTTATCCTCCTTTGACAGTTTAATGAACATGAATGCTACTCAACTGGCAGTTAGGTTTTTAACAATCAGAAAAAGGTAAAAGAGGGCACCAGTACTTATTTTTCCCCCTATTTTGTTTTTCCCAGTAATTAAAGCAAAACAAGGGGAAAAGAACAAAAAAGGCTAATTTGTTTGGGGAATAATCAATTTATGATGCTCATGTAGCTAAGCAACCAGGGTGTCATGGCTCCTTGCTACATCCCTGGTCCATGCAGAACACAGACCAGATGCTCATTTGTAGGCTAAAATATAGCTGTTTTGGTCAAACCTAGGGAATTTGAGGTTCCTTGGCTATGGCAGCTATATTGAATTCGGTTAGGCCTAAATAGTATGAATCACTGGATGGATTTTAACAAAGTTTTCAATGAATGCATATCTACAATTGAGTGAGCAATTTTGGTAACTGACACACAATCACACAGAAACCAGTAAAAACAGTCTGCTTTCACTTTTAGGTGACGGGTGATAATTTTTCTGACATGGCACATCTCTCTTTTTGGTTATTAAGATTTAATTTAAACTTGCCCGCAGACGTTGGAGCCAACAACCCACTCTCAATTAAGTAAATTTAGTTTCCTTTTGATGGAAAACCACTCGGGGTGATTCAAACCAACGAGATAAGCCAAGGTTGGAAAACTACTGTTTATTTAGCTTCCAAAAAGGGATACCAATTGTGGTTCAGACTTAGATGGGCAGATACAGTATTGTGTTTTTATACATTTTTGACACCCACAGAACCAAGTGAGGACACAAAAGATCAGACAATCATAGGTGTAAAAGGTAAGTGTTTATTTACAAAGATAAACA